TCCGGTCTGCCAAGGTGTGTATAGTACTGAGTACTTTGTCGTAAAGCTCGTAGGTTCGAATCTCCTCCGGCCTGAGGTAAATGTAAATATTTCGATTGTTTTACGAAGTCTAAAACATACAGGTTTGTAGGAGGAGCATCGGACAAGACCGCGATGGAGTGATTGCTGATGAAAGTTGTTCTTTTTCGAGTCACTCTACCTCGGTGGGTTGATAAGGTGCGTTTTACATTATATAATAATATATAATATATTATATATATATATATATATATATATATATATATATATATATATATATATATATATATATAATAATATATATATTTTTATATATATATATATATATATAATGTCGTGCCGAATATGTAAAACTGGTCAATTAGCAAGAACTCATTTAAAATTATGTCCTTTCTCAAAATTTCTCTTATACGTTTAAAGATATATTTTTTTCATTAATGTTAATGTAAAAATTTTTAATTTTGCACCAAAAGAATCTTAGAAAACTTACCTAACCTTATTACAACAAGCGCAATTTATTTTAGCCTAATCCTACTAAATATATTTTAAATACGTTTACAGTAATTTAATACTAAACAAACACAGTGAAATATATTTTTTTCGTTAGGTTCAGAATTATTTTGGCGAAATTATTGCATACACAAATTTTCACCTGTCCTATATGGCAAGATGAGCAATGCTAATTCAGCCAAGATCGCAAGTTCTGCCTATTCGGCACAACATATATATATATATATATATATATATATATATATGTGTGTGTGTGTGTGTGTGTGTGTGTGTGTGTGTGTGTGTGTGTGTGTGTGTGTGTGTGTGTGTGTGTGTGTGTGTGTGTGTACTCACCTAGTTGAGGTTGCGGGGATCGAGTCCGAGCTCCTGGCCCCGCCTCTTCACTGATCGCTACTAGGTCACTCTCCCTGAACCGTGAGCTTTATCATACCTCTGCTTAAAGCTATGTATGGATCCTGCCTCCACTACATCGCTTCCCAAACTATTCCACTTACTGACTACTCTGTGGCTGAAGAAATACTTCCTAACATCCCTGCGATTCATCTGTGTCTTCAACTTCCAACTGTGTCCCCTTGTTACTGTGTCCAATCTCTGGAACATCCTGTCTTTGTCCACCTTGTCAATTCCTCTCAGTATTTTGTATGTCGTTATCATGTCCCCCCTATCTCTCCTGTCCTCCAGTGTCGTCAGGTTGATTTCCCTTAACCTTTCCTCGTAGGACATATCTCTTAGCTCTGGGACTAGTCTTGTTGCAAACCTTTGCACTTTCTCTAGTTTCTTTACGTGCTTGGCTAGGTGTGGGTTCCAAACTGATGCCGCATACTCCAATATGGGCCTAACGTACACGGTGTACAGGGTCCTGAACGATTCCTTATTAAGATGTCGGAATGCTGCTCTGAGGTTTGCTAGGCGCCCATATGCTGCAGCAGTTATTTGGTTGATGTGCGCTGTCTGTGTGTGTGTGTGTGTGTGTGTGTGTGTGTGTGTGTGTGTGTGTGTGTGTGTGTGTGTGTGTGCGTGCGTGCGTGGTCGTGCGTGCGTGCGTGCGTGCGTGCGTGCGTGCGTGCGTGCGTGCGTACGCGCGCGCGCGCCGAATAAGCAAAACTTAATATTTTGGCTTAAATAGCAACGCTCTTCTTGCCGAATAAGGCAAGCGAAAATTTGTGTATGCAATAATTTCGCAAAAATCATTCTGAACCTAACGGAATATATATATTTCAGTGTCTTTCTTTGTTATTAAATTATTGTAAACTTACCTAAAATATATTTAGCTGGATTATGCTAAATTAAATTGCGCTCGTTATAGTAGGGTTAGGTAAGCTTTGTAAGGTTCTTTTGGTACAAAATCATTAATTTTTACATTGACATTAATTGAAAAAAAATATATCTTTGAACGTATAATAGAAAATTTTGTAAAGGACTTAATTTTAAACGAGTTCTTGCTTATTGACCAGTTATACCTATACAGCTCGAAACACACACACACACCTGAGAAATGGAAGACAGCTAATGTAGTCCCCATATTTAAGAAAGGAAACAGAAACGAGGCACTAAACTACAGGCCTGTCTCTCTGACACGTATTGTGTGCAAAGTCATGGAGAAGATTATCAGGAGGAGAGTGGTCGAACACCTGGAAAGGAGCAAGATTATAAATGAAAACCAGCATGGGTTCATGCAAGGCAAATTTTGTATCACAAACCTCCTGGAGTTTTATGACAAGGTAACACGAGAGAGAGGGGTGGGTAGATTGCGTTTTCCTAGACTGCAGGAAGGCCTTTGACACAGTTCCCCACAAGAGAGTGCAGAAGCTGGAGGATCAGGCGCATGTAAGAGGGAGGGCACTGCAATGGATAAGGGAATACCTGACAGGGAGGTATCACAGTGGGCGCCTGTTACGAGCTGGGTCTCACAGGGGTCAGTTCTAGGACCAGTTCTATTTTTGATATATGTGAACGACATGATGGAAGGAATAGACTCTGAAGTGTCCCTGTTCGCAGATGACGAAGTTGATGAGAAGAATTAAATCGGACGAGGATGAGGCAGGACTGTAAAGAGACCTGGACAGGCTGGACATGTGGTCCAGTAACTGGTTTCTCGAATTCAATCCAGCCAAATGCAAAGTCATGAAGATTGGGGAGGGGCAAAGAAGACCGCAGACAGAGTATAGGCTAGGTGGACAAAGACTACAGACCTCACTCAGGGAGAAAGACCTTGGGGTGACCATAACACCGAGCACATCACCGGAGGCACACATCAACCAAATAACCGCTGCAGCATACGGGCGCCTGGCAAACCTGAGAATAGCGTTCCGATACCTTAATAAGGAATCGTTCAAGACACTGTACACTGTGTATGTTAGGCCCATACTGGAGTATGCAGCACCAGTCTGGAACCCACACCTGGTCAAGCACGTCAGGAAGTTAGAGAAAGTACAAAGGTTTGCAACAAGGCTAGTCCCAGAGCTCAAGGGAATGTCGTACGAGGAAAGGTTAAGGGAAATCGGACTGACGACACTGGAGGACAGAAGGGTCAGGGGAGACATGATAATGACATACAAGATACTGCGGGGAATAGACAAGGTGGACAGAGATAGGATGTTCCAGAGAGGGGACACAGGGACAATGGGTCACAACTGGAAGCTGAAGACTCAGACGAGTCACAGGGACGTTAGGAAGTATTTCTTCAGTCATAGAGTTGTCAGCAAGTGGAATAGCCTAGCAAGTGAAGTAGTGGAGGCAGGAACCATACATAGTTTTAAGAAGAGGTATGACAAAGCTCAGGAAGCAGAGAGAGAGAGGACCCAGTAGCGATCAGTGAAGAGGCGGGGCCAGGAACTGAGTCTCGACCCCTGCAACCACAATTAGGTGAGTACAATTAGGTGAGTACACACACACACACACACACACACACACACACACACACACACACACACACACACACACACACACACGCATGCACATACAACAGGCCTAGTGTCTAATCATGTGCCTAGGACCAAATGGTAACACACACACACACACACACACACACACACACACACACACACACACACACACTCGACCCCTGCAACCACAAATAGGCGAGTACAATATAACCATAGTGAAAAGTGGAAATATAAGCTCTTTCAGAATTTCGCACTTGAAATTGCGTTTGATTATTGAATGACTGTCAGTGAATAAGCAGAATGGACGGGGACATAAACAATGGGTCATGCCCACCACTGTAACCATTCAGCCACGAAGGTTCTAATAGGATGATTTAAAACTAGCACTTCTGTAGCAAGGCTGTATCAGTAGGCACCAACTGTGATCCAGCTATCTCATCCCACAGTCCCAGAAGCTTCATGTTTCATCTGTTCTAATAATCTTCAAAGGCACATATTTTGTTACCCAAGATATGTCGTACAAATAAATGACTTAATAAAAAGAATGGACTCGAACTTTGGTACATGAGAAATTAGTGACCAGAATGAACGCGTAAATTAAAATAAGGTACATTAATACATTGAATTAGAAATTCCCAGCTTTGTACACATAGAGCAATATAAAAAATTTGCCTCAAAATCGCCCCTCCTGTTGTTATGAATTGCTGTAGGCAACAGTAATTCAAAATTATCTTAGTATAATTTTGCCTTGTAAATAATTTTCGCTGTTGAGTTCTTTCAAATGTAGGTCAACCAATAATTTCTTGTATTCTATTCAAATTTGAATGTATCCAACTTTAACCTATTATTTCTAATTCTTTCTAGTGGGAAAAAACATATTTACCAGTAGCGGCTTTGTCAGTTCTCGCCCCTCGTGGGTAAACCGTTAAATTTCTAAATTGTTGTGTGATGCACGTCTCTGTAAATCCCTAGTATATCAATTCAAATACTGTACCTAAGAGCAATTCCTGTTTTCTTATTAACATCAGTACCTTGTTTATATATCTTATATGCCATTTCCACCTTTGTTATTCAGTCATCTCTAACTTCAGTCTAAGTCTTTCTAGAAAGTGTGGATTTAGAGCTCTACGTCTGTCTTCGTAAGAAAGAACCCTTATACAGCGGATTAATTTCTCTGTTACATTTATGACCATTTAGTTGTATGAAGATGATAACTGCGCCGCATGTGAGGCCTCTCTAAGGTAAAGTGATTTGAGCCATACTGTCGTGAAAGATAGAGCCTCTCCTACATTCGTGAAAGATAGAGCCTCTCCTACATTCGTGAAAGATAGAGCTTCTTTTTTTTTTTTGTTTATTGGAAAGCTCTATGTTTGTGAAGGTCAGGTTTGATTCGAGGAAGAAGAGAGTAGCTATAATTCATAGGATGAACATCCCCTCACCAGAAACAAGCTTAGGACATCTCTCAGACATCACGTGACAAATTATTTATTCCCCTTTAATATATTATTATTATTATTGAAGACAGGTTGGTAAATATTATCTGTAGCCTACTATTTATTAAGCAGGAACTTCTATCTTCCCTCACAGACCCTGGTGCTGTACCCCATCCCAACGATCGTCACGTGTAGCCTTAGGGTCTGGCTTAGAGAGATCGGCTTCTCTCTCGCATATGGTGCTCTTATGCTCAAAACATGGAGGTAAGTCATGTCTAAAATGCTCTAATGCTCGATACCTGGAGCTACATCTCTCCATGTAGTGTGTGTACTCACATAGTTTAGGTTGCAGGGGTCGAGTCCTAGTTCCTGACCCTGTGTGTGTGTGTGTGTGTGTGTGTGTGTGTGTGTGTGTGTGTGTGTGTGTGTGTGTAGAACTAAACCCGTGTTAGTCCGCTAATCATACATCGAACTGTACAAAAATAGGTTCCCCACTGTTGCTAAGGAGAGATTCACTCACCTGCTGTCGTCGTGCCCACTCAGTAACAGTTAGCACTACCAGCCATTAATTATCAACACATTACAACATCTGCAATCTGCTCAAATTAACGACTGAGACCTCGTTAGTGGCCAAGTAATTACCCAGACTCCCGGTATTGATTCGAGTCATGAAACCATTTCCGCAGGAGTTCATTACAATGATGAATATATCTTGAGATCTTAATTATGCATTCCATGCACATTCTGTGGGCGATTATCACCCAATACCCATAACAATCGGTTTGAGCGGTAGTCTCCCCATACCCATTCTGTGGGCAATAGTCAAATGATTACAGAAGCACATAATGGGTCCATGGACTGGGTCCCAACATTTGTTTTTGTCAAACAGAATTTAGTGCTAATGAACTCGTAACAAATTTATAGACTTCGGGACAATATTAATATATTTAGTCATAAATTGAATCACAAAACAAATAATTACAAAACTGTTATATATGTTTGAGCTGTGAATGGGTGGGAGATATGGAAGAGAAGTGGTATATGAAAGTAGAGGGAATTGAGGGAAAAATGTAAGGCGAGGGAAAATCAGAAGGGAAGAGGATGGAAGGATTGAAGGTGAAGAGGGGATAAAAGTGAATGTGAAGATGGAAGAGAAAAAAAAAAGCTGCAAAGGAGGAGGATATGGAAGGGAAAGGGATATAGAAAAACAGTTGGAAAATGTGAGTGACATGGAATGGAAGGTGAGTATGAAAGGAAAAGGGGATATGGAAGAAGAACAGATCGAAGAAGAGATGGAAAGAGAGGGAAACAGAAAAAAATAATGGAAGAGGCGGCGGTGGTGATGGGAGTACGACTTGGAAGGGAGGGGAGGGATATTTAAAAAGAAAGGGGAGATTGGAGGAAGAAGGAAGCGCAAGTGAAGGAGAGGAGATGGAGAAGGCAATTACACGTAGACTGCTAACAGTGTGGATAGCCACAATTAGCGAAGGATGTGGGCGAGTAATTACCCCAATTACCGACCAACTCTTGGATATTAGGGTCTTGAAGATTAGTATCTAAGGTGGGAGCTGTCCGTTCCGATGATTATGAATCTTGTATATGAAGGTGGCGTTCTATTGGTGGAGATGAACCAACGATGGAGTGAAGATGGCGTTCTATTGGTGGTGATGAACCATCGATGGAATGAAGATGGCGTTCTATTGGTGGAGATGAACCAACGATGGAGTGAAGATGGCGTTCTATTGGTGGTGATGAACCATCGATGGAATGAAGATGGCGTTCTATTGGTGGAGATGAACCATCGATGGAATGAAGATGGCTTTCTATTGGTGGAGATGAACCATCGATGGAATGAAGATGGCGTTCTATTGGTGGAGATAACCATCGATGGAATGAAGGTGGCGTTCTATTAGTGGTTATGCACCTTCGGTGTAATCAAAATGTTCACAAATAATCACTTCGGAGATGAGCATTTAGATTACGTTTTCGTGAGTCCATAATCTTTATCAATCACAGCTGAGAGAGAAAATTGGAAGAAAATCGCAAAATGGGTCGAGAATGAAGGGAAAAGAAATTTAGAACATAAGTGACGAAACTACCATAACACGGGTATTTTCGTCACCTGACTTGTCGATGCAGTGAAGATTAGGTTCTTAGTGTTTATATATTATCCAATTATTCCACGTTGGGCAGGTCAACGTAACTCAGTTCAGAGACTCGATATTGCTGAACCCTCCATGCAATTCACACTAGAAGAAGAGCGACGAACCATTACTTTTTCTGGATATCTTTCTCGTCAATGATGAAGATACTCTTAAAGGCAAGTACACACACAACACGCCAATAATAATGACTTAATACACTTCCCCACTGTGACCTGAAAACAAAGAGGGAGGCTATCACAGGTTTCTTCTTAGCACTCCAAATTTGCAGTGATGTGTATATTTTAGAAAAACGAGAATATATTGACGAGATGTTCAACTGAAAATTCCCCACGCACATTATTATCTCCTGCAAACAGAAAGCCTGCCTCACAGCACATCTAGAGAATATTCCAACATCGACAGACGACTGGTTCTTTCAGCTGGGCAGACTGCCATTACCAACATCCTAAATTTCCCAAGAGCCAACATGGATGTAACAACCCTTGCTACTAAAACTATAGATATCACCAAGAGCCCTAAAGCCAAAGCTGTTTTAGTTGATAAAGCCCAGCCTTGGGAGAAACATTTTGAAAGGAAGCCTCTCCTTGCAGTGTGTTTATTCCCACTTGTTGGCTTTGCATTGTTTACCTCTGTGAATACCTCTTTAAATTTCTTGCTGAGTTCCTCAGATTTTCTGGTCATTCTTTGTAAATCATCCTTTCTTCGCCAGACTAATCCTTTACTCTCTTCTTAATCCTGATTTGACATAAAGCACCTTTAAGTCAGATTTGACTGTCGAAGTTATGTTACTCTCAGATTGTCGTTGAGAGACTTTTTAACCATGCATATTCATTTCTGACTTTTCTGCTCACTAGTTTCCCTACCTTTTTTTTTTTTGCCTTCTTTATTTCTTTAGGGTTTCTTACATATAGCTTTTGCCTCTTTGCATCTCTGAATGAACCATGGGCTCATACTCTTCTTCCACTGATTATTTTTGCTCCTGGGTATGAATTTCTTCTCTGCCTTCCGTCACTTTCCAGCTACATACACCATCTTATTTGCTTTTATTTCTTTCCAGTTCCCTTTCCCTCTGCTCCTCATTTAAGAATTATCTGTGCTGTTACTAAACGGCTAAATAAATACTTTTCAACATCCCTGTGACTATCTGAATTTTGAAGTACCAGCTGTGATCTCGTGTTCCTGGTTCCCATCTCTCATGTCCCTGTTTACCCAATGAGTTCCTCCTGTCCTCCACCGATATCAGGATAAGTTACACTAACCTCTCCTCAAAGGACATGCCTCTTAGCTCCTGACTAGTCTCGCTGCAAACTCTGCACTTTCTCCAATTTCTTATGTTTGACCAGGTGTGGGTTGCATACTTGTGCTGCATATTCCAATATGGGCCTGACGTACACGGGTACAGCGTCGTAAATGACGCCCTACCTGGATGTTTGAAAGCTAATCTTAGATTTGCCAAACACGCATTTGCTGCACCAGTTATTTGGTTGTGCCCCTCAGGTACTCGTTATAATACTCAGCTCAAGTTTCTACTCCTTCACTGAGGGTTGTTGCAGCCTTTCTTTCCCTCCCATGAGCCTATACCCTCTGTGCGGTCCTCTTTTCCCTTCCCCGAACTTCATAACGTTTCCCTTGGTAAAGTTAAACTTCATAGCCACTTATCAGTTCAAACCGGCAGCCTATCCAGTCCCATTTGTAAATCTTAATGGTCAACGTCTGCTTGTATTCTCACTAGTTTTACGTCTGCAAACAAGGATACCACTGACTATTACTTCCGTCATGTCATTCACGTATACAAGAGAGCACCAGCCTTAGTACTGATCCTTGTGGTACCCCACTCCTCACATGCACTTATTCCTACTCCACTTCACGGACAATCACTCGTTTCCTTCCTGTCAGGTATGCCTTGATCCATTGTAGCTTTTTCCCTGTTATTTCTGCCTACTTCTCTACTGTTTGTATTAGTTTCTTGTACTGTACAGTATGAAAAGCCTCCATACAGTATAAGAAAATACAGTTTACCTTCTCTTCTACTTGTGTGTGTGTGTGTGTGTGTGTGTGTGTACTCACCTATTTATGGTTCACAGGTGTCGAGTCCTGGCCCGCATCTTCGCTGGTCGCTACTAGGCCCACTTTCTCCCTGCCTTGTATCTTTTTCTTGAAGCTATATATGGATCTTGCCTCCACTACATCATTAGTGTGTGTGTGTGTGTGTGTGTGTGTGTGTGTGTGTGTGTGTGTGTGTGTGTGTGTGTGTGTGTGTGTGTGTGTGTGTGTGTGTGTGTGTGCGCGCGCGCGCGCTCCCCCCCCCCCACCTCCCCGCTGGATACGCATATCCCTTGTCAGCTAGAGATTGTTTGCAGCAATATTGGAGTCTCCTCAACTCCCCGCCCCTCAAGGAAGGTTCCTTGATGTTGGTGAGGGGCTCTTGATTTAGGGAATTGGATCTGTGCTCCAGTTCCCGAATTAAGCCTGAATGCCTTCCACATATCCCCCCCCCCAGGCGCTGTATAATCCTCCGGGTTTAGCGCTTCCCCCTTGATTATAATAATAATAATAATAATCCTCAACTCCCCAAAGTTATTAGTCTGTTGTGGCACAGTTAGGTAACGTGCCTGTTGCCCAATTACCACACGGAGGGTAGAGTCTGCAACCCTCCTCACGCCGAATGACCCACACAATATAATATTGCCACTGGTACAGAGCATCACAGTATAATACTCGTCTAGTAAGATGCCCAGAAGCTGGTGAAGGGCTCTTGATCCAAGAACCGAAGCTACCCTCTGATTCCTCTAAACAAAGCTTAATACCATCTACCACCTCCCAATCTTCAGGTGTTATTTGACCTTTAAGGGTTTAGAAATTCCTAATATTACTATACCTACTGCTACTACTACTGCTATTCCTACTACTATACCTACTACTACATCTACTACTATACCTACTATACCTGCTACTTATACTGTTAATACTACTAATAGTGTTATAGCATTTCTCGGTCACTTAATATCGGCGTCTTTTCTATAATTTTCTGATTCACTGAAAATGCCGAAATATAATATACAAGAATACGTTCTAAAATAACTTTATAGTTTAATATGT